TTGCGAGGATGGAACAAAGAAGAATTTGGGGTTCAAGCAGAGTAGACCCATGAATTTGGTTGTTGCTCGTTCCCCATTGTTTACGATCCCGCCTGCATTTAGCCCTTATGGTTGCTTCTTTTCGCTTGACTTGCTGCTTATGTGGGAAGAAGGAGACGGATCGGAGGAGACGCAGATTCGCTAGAGCTTTTCATGGGTTATTTTCACAGTACAGGGTCCGTTTTGTTTCGTTCATGGACATTTTAGTAATTGTAGTTGTAATTTTATTGACATTTAAGTCCCAGAAGATTTGAGAATTATTTATAAATTTGGTGGAACTTTTGAGTATTTCAAATTGTTGCATGGGACGTTTATAGTGACTTTCCTGATATATTATTGATTAAATTCAATGTTATAAACTATATGAGGAAGGTTGGTGCCTTATATCTTTCTTTTCTATTTTTTGTTTTAAAGTGACATACAATTAAAATGGTGAGTATGTTCATTGGCTTCCTGAAAGTTATTCATTGTTAAATGATTTAAGGAAGTAAGGCTGAGGCTTGAATGTTAATAATCGTAGTTATAAGATTGTTATTATTAAGCATGTGAACTGACGGATTTTATCAACTGAATTTCTAAATTCTTATAAATTTTGTGAAAAAGGGAATGATAATATTGTTGCTTTGGACATTAGGAAAGTAAGAAGTGAAAATTACTATAGAAGAGACTAAATAAGAGTAAGTTATATATTTGAAAATGTATATCAAGTAAGTGAGTAGTATCCTAATTAAGTTATAAGCAATTTTTTTATTTAAATTTTTAATGTTAAGTAAATTCACATGTATGCATTATAATATCAATATTTATTATTCTTTTATCAATTGAAATACTTTAGTTATAATATTTAGTTTTGGGAGAGGAATTAGATTTGTCTAATAAGTAATTACGTTTAATGATTTAATCAGTGTCGTTCATGCGTGAAGATAGACAAAGGGATTTCCTCTGAATGCAATAACTGAATGATATATGTCCTTTTTTCCTCTGGCCATTGAAATTGGAATCTCATTCAACTATTCATTCAAAGGGATCTGATTGTAACTCTTGTTGAAAATTCTACATTTGTCCACAGCCATACATGTCCATTTTCAAGAAGGATCATTGAGTCGGACAAATTTCCATTGGCGAATCAGACTTGTAATTATTTCTTGCGCAATACATGGATCAGAGATTAGTTGAAGCTTCAAAAATGGAGATGTCATTGCATTATTCAGAATGTTGGAGGAGGATCCTCAGATTCTGGACAAAGCGTCTTTGGCCTATCATAGAGAATCGCCACTTCATGTTGCAGCACTAGCAGGGAAAGGAAATTTTGTGAAGCAGATTCTGAGTTTAATGCCTTCACTAGCAACACAGCCAAACCAGAAAGGTTTGATCCCATTGCACATGGCTTCTGCAAAAGGCCATGTTGACACGGTGAGAGAGCTCTTGAAGGTGAAGCTTGATGATGATTCAGTGAAACAGTGCCTTCTCAAGAACGACGATGGATGGACTCCCCTGCATTATGCAGCATGGAAAGGTTCAAGAACTGGTCAGCCACAGTCCTGAGTGTATGCTGGAGACAACACCAAAAGGAGAGATAGTTCTTCACTTAGCAGTGAAGGCTAACCAATTTGGAGCTCTGCGAGTGCTAGAGGAAAGAATCAGGCTTTACAACTTCCACAAACTCCTTCTACAAGCCAAGGACAACAACGGCAAGACTTTCAGTCAACTTGCAGAGAACAAAAAACAACTCCGAGTAAGTGTGCGTACAAATAGTTGTTTTATTTATTTATTGTTGGGAATGAAGGGCAAAAGGTCCATATACCATATGTATAGGAAATAGGAAAAAGCAAAGTGCATTAATGTAATTGTATAAGGTGAGAGATAAGCATTCGATAAATCATGTACAACGACATAACAATTTTCAGGAAAAAAAATGTTAATACGCAAAATTTAGCTCTTCCATTTCACTTCAATTATAGAACCCAACTCTGTATTTCCAGAACCTATACTTTAGCCCAACCTATTTACACTGTATTTTTTAGTTTATTTTATTTATTTTTGTATAAAAGGGTTTAAACTCTTAAATAACATAAACGGCTGTGTGTAGATTTGAGAAGCACTACAAGTAACACTTTTGGTAACTTAGAAAGCATATTTTAATCTAAAATTGTGATTGAAAGTTCAAATTATGGTTAGATGAATGAGAACGAAATCTTAAAAGTAAGAGGAGTTCTATATGACATAACTTTTAATTTTGAGAAAGGTTTGTATTTTATTCAAAGGAACAAAATTGATTATAAAATTTGGTAAGCAGTAGGATATATAACAAGTTTTACAGTTCATATGGATCATGAATACATACATACATATATGTATGTATGTATGTATGTATATTTTTAAAATTAGATCCAGTAGAAAAATATTAATGAAAAACGAATTAATAACAATTTTGATAGATGAATAAATGATGTCATAAAATGGAAAAAAGTGTAAAGAATTTCCTGCATTTACAAGTTGATGGTAGACGAATTACTACACTTGCACACTCAAACAAAATCTATTGCAATTTGTCTTCTACTCCAGTATATTAGAACATTGCAACGAGAAGAGGGTACATTGAAAGCATATAACAATGATTTGGCAGGTACCAGAGGTACCGAATAAAAATGTGAAGATCAATGATATCAATGAGGAAAATTATATAACCGTGGACGTGGAGAGGATTACTGACACTGAAGTACCTGAGGAATCAGGGGCAAAAGCAGAAGATAATGAAATGCAGTTTCAGAATATAAAACTACTAGTAGCCAACATCATTTTAACCTTAACATATCAAGGTTTGAGTGATCCTCTATCAATCCTCTTCAAAGAAGGCAGTGAAATACATTGGGAATGCCTTTTTGATTTCTCATCAAGAAAGAATCACAGAAGTAGCTTGATCAATTTCATCAAGAACTGCCCAGCCCTCTTGGCTTTCATGTTCTTGAAAATAAACACCTTGATCTTCTTCACTTCTATCTGATTGTGGTTACCACTTTGCGTGGCCGCCAAGCTCTTCAACTGCGATTGCTCACACTATACTTCACAATCTGCTACAGCATCTTACTCATGGCTTTCTCTCGTTATGCTGCATATGTGGCTGTTCCTCTTGGATTTGCAGCTATTTTATACCAATTCGTGGATATATTGAGGGAAGAATTTGTTGCAAATAAATCCAAACGGATTGCAAGAGCAAGCTTGAAATTTATGTGGAATTCATCCTTTATGCAAAGATGGAAGAAGATGGAGGTGGAGAAAATAACGCAACCCACTCAGACCACTTGAGAAAGAGCAAGATGGATCATATGGACTAGGGTTTCAAGGTTCCCCTCTTGGCTTGCATATATCCAAAATGCATTTTTTTTTTTTTAAATGAAGATATCCACAATGTTTGGGTAAATGACGTGTTACTAATTACTACTTGGCCAGCTTAAATATAGGATTAATGGATCACTAACTCAAAAATTAGTATGTGAGCAAGGGTCACTTTACAGTCTCTACCCGGTCAAGTTGAATATTTTAACTTCTTATTGTTGGTGATAGCTGGTGAAATCTAGTCTGAGTCGTGCTTGAGGATATTGTCCTTAAGAGCTATTTCGCCACATCAAGTTGATCGCGCGGCAGCTCTTCAGGATTAAACAGACTCTTCTTACTAAAAGTAAGGGCACAAAATAATAGAAATTCATAAAATATACTCAGATGTTGCACAATGAACTAGTATGATAGAAGAGGAGAGAAAGGCCAAGAGTATCAAGGCTCTCCCTGAACCTATGGCAAGCATTATCTTTTATAGGTAGATCTCATAATGTTAGGCAATAAAATCACCTTAATCTAAATTAAAAAACAGTTTCAAATAATAATGTTATTTAAATTATATGTTATAAAATAATAAATAAACTTAAATAATAATTAATATTATTAATTTATAATAATTCCTTTTGAAATACTCAAAATATTTATAATATCCAACACTTATAGCTTATTTTATTAACTTAAACTGGAGAAGATACCAAATAAACTAAGAAGTTAATCAAATCAGGGTATTTCGCCTATCGTAAAATTTGTGATTATTAAACTAATAGTCCAAGAGAAAGGCAGCGTTTTCTTATGGGCCCATTTAGTTCAATGCAATGCAAGAAGAATACATGTAATTCTGATACACTCCTTTCGTTGATGTTGTTTGGTTGGGCCATTGATTATTAGCAGCGAGAATTGTGAGCGTCCCTGGCTAAATCTGATCCATTCAAATTATCAAAATCCCATTAATACACACCTTACATGGCTATTAAAAATACATGTGAACAATTTATTTTTAAAATAGTTAAAAAAACATATTTTAAAATATAGGTGGAAATAAGTTAGGCTTAAGATTTTGACTAAACATGCTAAGTTTATTTATATAAATAAGCTTAATTATAAATTTAAGCATGATTTTTTTCTTAAACATACAAACCAGGCCAAAATTTAAATAAAATAAACTGTATGTCTTTGCAGATCAAGTCAAGTCTATTTAACAAAAGAAGCTGATTATATTAAAATAAGTAAATAGACTTATAGAAACATATAACTTGTCCTGTTTAAATTTTGGCCTGGTCTATTTAACAAAAAACATCATACTTAAATTTATAATTACACCTATTTATATAAACAGGCACAACCTATTTAGGTAAAATCTGTTTTAAAATTGGCCTACTTTTACCCCTGTGTATTTCAAAATATGTTTTTACTGTTTAAAAATAAATTGTTTATGTGTATTTTTAATAGTCATATGATGTGTGTATTGATAAGATTTTGACCATTTGAATGGACTAGATTTGGCCACCAAGGGACGCTGAGATTCTCATCGCTGAGGGGATCTGGTTCCGAAAGGGATTACTTCAAATGATGTATTTAGGGATAACATTACTACACTTGTGTAATCCCCATTCCCCCTAGTGCCTTCTGACTTTTCTACCCTCCTCATCTTCAGTGTTGTGTATGGCTGCAGCACACCATCGGTAACCTCTCCCTCCTTCCTTCCCACTGTCACTGAACTTAAACCTCTTTCTTGGCGTGCCTCTCTCCTCAACCTCACCGGCGACAACCTTCGCTCCTTCTTACCATCGGCAACCGCCATCAACAGCACACCATTTGAACCAAAACTGATTTGCGACCTGCACGCAAACCAACAGCACTTGTTCAATCATCCAAATGCTTCATTGTTGCTGTATGTATGATTTCTGATTTTCCATGCAAGGAAACCATGGTTTATGTTTGTACGGGGGCGATGGTGGTGAAGATAACAGAGGGGGAGGTTTTTCTTTTGGCTTTTTTAAAAGGGTATTTTTGTATTTTTAATTTTATTTGGATTTAACTAAATAGTAAAATAGATTATTTTTCAAATGTCATGCCAAACAACTCATGAAATCAACATTTTTCTTATCATTACATTACATTACCATTGATTTTATGAACCAAACGGATTATTAGTTTTTGACATCAATTAGCCCAAGCGAAAACTTTAAATTTAATGAGGACTATTTAGTAAAGCTATGATCACTTATTAAGTTATTGGCCGTGTTTCCTTATCCTTGCGTCAAAATCTTAGCCGAAACTTACAGGATGGAGGAGTGCCATACCATTATATTTAACTTTTTTCTTTAACAAATATAAATTCCAATTTAAATATTGTATTTTATTCAAAGTATGCTATGTTTTTTTTTTTGTTATTCTCATTTGCTTAGGTAGTGTTTGGCTGGATTTAAATTTGAATTTAAAATTTCAAATTACACATTTAGATATTATGCATTTAAAATTTTTTATTTGGATAGTATAAAAATTTTTAAAGAAAGAAGAGATACAAGCTAGTATTTGAAATAAAAATGAAAGATTGAAAGTAATGAACTTAATTCAATTTTTTAATCAATAAGAGACTTAGAATGAGAGAAGAGGAGAGAGAGAGACACCAATAATGAATGCGTGAAGAAAAGGAAGAGGTTAGAGTAGTTGAAAATCAAAATTTTAAATAATTAAAATCAAGAGAACTTAAAATTATAATAAAATATGGATTTGAATTTGAATTCATAAACTTTTAATATTTGAATGGAAGAATCAAATTCAAATTTAAATATAAATTGTCATGTATCCAAATACTGCCTAAGAATACAAAACTTGGCCCAAAATTGCCAAGAAAAAGAAAGGCATTGGCATATCCAGGGGTAAAATTTTGGCGCATTATACAAAACTTGCTAGCAATGATAGGGATTTTCTTCTTGTGGAAAAGGCAATGTGCCGTTTCATATCTACTTTGACCAAGTTATGACTCTGAACTCTCTTTGAAAATTCAACATTTATCCATAGCCACATATACATACATCTACATTTCTATTAAACGTAGCATAGGCGTCAATGTTGACCCTCCACAACAAAACATATGCGATGGTGAGAAGAAAGGGACTTAGATATTCTAAAGTTGGCCTCTTTGCTTCCATTACTGCAGAAAAAGATCAGAGCTAGTGATTCTCTCAAGCAACTAAAAATCAAGCCTTGTGTCTTCCACTTTCTTCATTTCTCTTCCCAACAAGTTTTGATCCGTTTCTTCTTCTCATTTTTCCCCCATGGGCGATGCAACTAATCCAGTAGCTCAGTCTCTCGTTCCAATGTTGAAAAAAGGAGCAAATTATGATTTCTGGAGTCTGAAAATGAAGACCATGTTCAAGTCTCGAGAGCTATGGGATATGGTGGAGAAAGGATTCATAGACAACCAAACTGAGGAGCCTGATCAACCATTGCGAGAGAATCGGAAGAAGGATGCAAAGGCCCTGTTTTTGATTCAACAAGCTCTACATGATGAAATATTTCCTCTCATTGCATCAGCAACTACATCCACCCAAGCATGGGAGATTCTAAAGCAAGAATATTCCCGTAACAAGAAGGTAATTACAGTAAAAATTTCAATTCCATGAGAAAATGTTACGGGTCCTATGTCAAGGACATGCATCACACAAAAAACGTGATTTACAAGTGTAAATAAACTCTCCCTCATAATTTGTCATTGGAAAACAGGTAAAGTTGTTAATCAAGGTTAGTTTTATTTTGAAGGGCCTAAGCCTATAGGCCCACATATTTCAAATTAATTGTGTTTTTTAAAACTAACCTTCATTGTTAGGGTTCAAGGTGGGCATCAAAAGCTTGTCTAATTTTTTGGAAGAATTATATTGAAGTCTTACATAAAAAAATTAATTATTACAAGATTCAGTGATAACTAAACTAAGGAGATTGAGACCATAATCAGTTGTCAATCTTCTTAGTTCAATTATCAATGGATCTTATAATAATTAATTTTCTTGTGTGGAACCTAGACGTAATTCTCCTTATTTTTTTATTTTTTTCATTTAAGTTTCTAGTTATTATAATACACAATTTAACAATTGTGTCATTTTATATATAATTCAAAAATTAAATCAACAATTTCAACCACAAGTTGATTGAAAAGTGAAAAAATTCACAAGGGCAAGGGCCTAAGTCTTTTTATACAAAAACTACTCTTTCTTCCAAGTTTAGCCCTCCTAAAAAAAAATAAAGGGCCTAAGTCTTTTTATACAAAAACTGCTCTTTCTTACAAGTTCAGCCCTCCAAAAAAAAAATAATAATAATAAAGGGCCTAAATGAGCAACCCAAAAAGCTCGCCCCTTATTGATGTCTCAAGGCATGGAAGATTCTAACCGGCAACAAGCCAAGTGAACTTTTGTCTTAATTGATTTTTTGGATATTGCATCCACATAATGTTTTGAAAATGATTAAAATTTGTGTACAATTTTTTTTTTTTGGGTTACAAAAATGTTTACAATTACGCAGGAAACTAGTATAACCATGCACAGCAACTCTGAAGCCCCCAAAAATAAGAACAAGGAAGTATGGAGGGAATCAGCAACAAGAAGAGATGCAAAGAAAGAAAAGGAAGAAGATTTTGAGAATGCAATACTAGTTGTGGTGACATTAATCATAACGTTGACATACCAAGCTTTGTTGGATTCAACAACTCTTCAACAAGGAACTGAAATACAATGGGATGCCTTTTTTCCAGAAAACAAGGTTTGATAAACGACATGAAGAACTGTCCTGCTAAACTGGCCTTTGCGTTCTTGTTCCTCAACACATTGATCTTCTCGCATTCAATCCTTGTCCTGCTCTTGACTCTGTGTGGCCGTCGTGGATTTCTGATGTCGGGTCTCACAATGTACTTCACTGTTTGTTACTTCATCTTGCTTATGGCTTTCTCTTATTATACTGCTTATGTTGCTATTCCACTCTGTTGTTTGGCTGTTTTAATCATAGTCTTGATATCTGGAAGGAATATTGGAATCTCCTAAGGAGTCGTTATTTCCGGTGAATTGTTTTAATTAAATATATGTAATCGTTATAATTTTTCTCATGAATTATATTTCATCTTTACTTTTTTTCTTTTTCTTTTTTTTTCTTTTCTTCTTCTTCTTCTTTTTTTTTTTTAAGGAAATGAAAAAGGCCCTGTGGTGTTGAATGTGCTCAAGCCAATTGAATTGCTCGTTTGGTTTTCTGTTCCCTCAAAAGTTCATCTAACAATTAATGGAGGTTGAGATAGTGAGAGTAGGAAGAAGCTTTACAATGTGATGAATTAAGATTTGAATATATATTAAAAAAAGTGCTTACATTTAGTATATAATAATACCTCAAATATAATTAATTGCCTCCAATAAAAAAATACCTGTGGTTAACAAAAAAAAAAGCTCATCTAACAAAAATCAATTTAAGAAAAATCAATTATTATAATAAAATTTATATTTGAATATTTTAAAAAAGTCGGATTAGTAATTAAAAGTTGCTTAAATTTTCAAAATTAAAAGTTCTTTTAAATGTATTATTTAAAAGATATTGATTTTTATCATTTATAATTTTTATTATACAAATATAATATATTAAAAATGTTTGAAAAATATATTTGATAAATCTATATACTCAATCAAAAAGCAAATGTTTTATAAGGGGGAGGGGAACCAAAATCTGAAATCTCATTTTTAAGTGACAAATGATTGAAATATTTGGAAGGAAGGACTACTTGCCTCTTTCGATAGGATATAAAATTAATTTTTTGAGCCAAAATCAATTTTTTAATGAAATTTATCCAAACAATCAAAAAGTTTAATAATTAATTATTAAGTTAGAATTACGTTTTGAAATAAGCTCTGAGAGGTTGCTTATAGATTCAATTTTATTGTTAAATAATATATTTTACTTTTTAAATAAAGTTTAGCAAATTTAATAATATTAAATACAACTTTATCAATAATTTAATTTTAAAAAGCAATGTCCTTTATAATAATTATACAGTTAAAATCAATTTCAGTATCTAAACAAATTGTATTATAACATAATCAATTATATTTAAAATTAATTATATTAATCAATTATTTTATAATCAATTATAACCAGCTGAAATTCAAACGGATCCTAGTTTTGAGAACGTTAAAAATTTCAAATTTTGCAGTTGTACGTGTTTTAAGATATCTTCAAGAATTTGTTTTGATAATTCTTGAGGTACAATTGCAGATATGAAATGTACATCCAATAATAATATTCAAGGCTTAATCCTTTCTTTCTAAATTTTTCAATCATTTGGTCCTTGTTGTGCACAACTTTTTCCTTTCCTTTCCTTTTTTATTTATTTTGACATGAATTCTGTTCATCTACCTTATATTTTATCGCTTATGTACAAACACATGTTCTTAAAAAACTAAAGAAAAGCCGGCTAATTGTCCCTTTATATACAGTGATGTTATATTTAGTGAACTTTATTTTATATAATGAAAACTATTCATTACTTGAAGTCTTTAATATTTAATTATTTTTTTTCAAGAGCAAAGACAAGCTATAACAGAACGTAATAAATCACGCACGTAACATGTTGAGTGGCATGTTCGAATCATGTAAGAAATAAATTGATCTTGGAGTAAGGTGTATACTCTCTCATATAAGATATAGGCACATTCTATAATATTTATTTAATTTTATTTATAAGTTATAATGCAGCTTTTAGATAATATGTGAAAGGTATTTTAAAAATTATTTTCATAAGAGAGAAATATAATATTATTTTTTGAATTTATTATATTGGAGCATATTAAAAATTCATATACTTTTATTTTTTATATATTTTTTTGTATTGGTATTGATGAGATTGATAAAAATAATTTATAAAAAAATCGGAGGATTATATAAAAGACTAATGAGCTACTTTTTGAATAAGGAATATGCCCAGAATGAAACAGAAAAGTCTAAGAGTTACCAAGCTCCAGGGCAAACTTTTGATATATATCGATTTGGTTATATTTATAAGTTTTTATTAACATATTTTATTAAAATTAAGAAAAATATTAAATCTTGTTAAATTTGTCTAAAAATTCAATAAATTTTTTTTAATTTATCCCTAATAAATTTTATATACTTCAAAATAAAAATACTCTGACATTTAATAACCTTTCAAGCATTAATAAAGATAAAAAAGTAAATATGGACACAAAAATTATAAACATAACCTGTACTCTCTAAGGTTTTATTTATAAATTATTTTTACCAATCTCATTAATATTAATATAAAAAGATATAAAGAATAAAATTTTAGTAAAATAACAAACATAACCTTCAAAAAATAAATAAATTATATAATATTATGTTTTTATTTCTCTCTCTTACTTTTTAAGAATAGTTTAAAATTTTTATTTAAAAAAATATTATTATCAATTAAATGATTTATAAAATAAACTATTCACACCTTTTTAAAGGTGATTAATAAAATAGACTGAATGAAATAAATAAAATTAAAATAAATATTTTTTTTCTTGTTTTATAAATAGGATGACGAGTACAGCATAGTACAATTTGCATATGCTTGTATTGGGAAGTTGGGAAAGGACAACTTCCAAAATTAAAAGTTCAATACAGTCATCAAACAAGAGTGATAAAAAAAAAAATCGTACATGGATCGGAGATTGGCTGAAGCTGCAGGAGTGGGAGATGTGATTAGATTGCACGGAATATTGGAAATACTGGAAAAAGCTTCTTTAGCACTATCTGCAGGTTTCACCACTTCATCTATAGGCAGTACGAGTAGGGTTTGTGAAGCAGATTCTTGCACGCAGATCAGCAAGGTTTGATCTCATTGCACAGGCCCTCTGCACAAGGCCATGTTGAGACAGTGGAGGAGCTCTTGAAGGTGAAACTGACGACGACGATGAAATGAACCAGTGCCTCTGAAGGACGATGAACGTCGAGCAGCCCTACATATACAGTTTCTAAAGGAAGAGTGGGTGTGGTTGCAAAGTTAATTAGATACTGTCCTGAGTGGGTGGAAGAAGCCACAGCAAAAGGAGAGACAGTACTTCATTTAGCAATGAAGGGTAACCAATTTGAAGCTCTAACATTGATATTTAGGAGGATCAAAAGGCTTCCAAATTTCCAGACACTGCTTAGAGCAAAGTACAAGAAAGGCAAGACCGTCTATGATCTTGCAACTGCAAGAAACAGTTCTGGGTAAACCACCAACGAAAAGAAATCAGTTTGGATTTTCCATGCCCAATTCTCTGATACTCTCTAACTCTCCTTCTCTTTTATTTTTGTTCCCCTCCTTGTGTTTTTAACCAAATCTTATTGATAAAAACATAGAAATTCTGGAGTACTGTACTGCAATTATGCAACAGTACAGTTTTTCTTATATTTTCTTTCTTATTTGTATGACTACAGACTCCAAAATTCCCTCTCTTTTTTCATTTATAAGCTTTGGATTAAAAACAAAAAAGAGGAAAAATCGGAAAGTGAAAGGGGCATCAGGGAAACTTGATAAGAACACTACCAGTTTTTGCATCATCTACATACGTTCATGACTGAATTTTGATGGTAAAGCAAATGTGTTTGTGGTGAATGCATATGATTGTGGCGTGGCAGGTAATACTAGGAATGGGGAAAGAACAGACGAATGGGATAAAAGAGGAAACTAGTATACCCATTGAGGTGAAGGACTATGAGCCCGAGGCAACAAAAGGTAAAGAGAAGGAAGCAAAGAAAGATAACAACGAGTTCAAGAATGCCATACTTTGACATACCAAAGTTTGGTGAATCCTCCATCAAGCTTCTTCAACATGGCACTGAAGAGAGTAGAATGGGGATGCATTTTTCGATTCCTAATCATTTCACCAGAGTCGTGCATTCGGTGTGACGACAACCTCAAGCGTTGTCCAGCTTTCTTGCCTTTCTATTTCTCGTGGATCAACACCACAATCTTCCTCCAAGGTGTCTGGCTTCGGAATTTGAGTTTTTGCCAGCACGGTGGAGCCATATTCCAATTCATACTGCAATCACTCACATTAACCCTCATATGGAGTTGCTGTGTGTTACTGGTGGCTTTCTCTGACTCTGCTGTAGATGTTGCCATTCTACTTGGTGGTTTTGCTCTGTTAGTCCAGCTCCTTGTACTGCTAGGTGCATTTCTTACCAGATATGCAAATGCGAATCCAGACAATCCCTCGAAGTCGTTATTGAGTTTGCTGAGTGGCTTGGCTACCAATAAAGTGGAACCTGTGTATTTGTATCTAGTTCAAAATGAGCTGTAATGTTCATAACTTATCAACAGTCTAACTTCTTATATTTATATGTATTGAATATTAATATTGATTGTAATTGATATTGGTGTTTCAAAGTGATGAATGATTTATTAATGATTATGTGAAGTTAAAATTCAGTTATCATTGCCACACTAAACATGTTTCCATCTCTCTGCATACAACACCTAATGCATGCAGCAGAAAAACCCAATCTCGCTTCCCATCCCCACGATTTCCATTGAAAGATTAAAAAGAAAAGTGGAGGGGAACGTGATAGTAACGTTATCCACTTCACCGTAACATTCTTCTAAGAACAAAAGCTGAGAATTCTCATTTACCAAAAAAAGCTAAGAATTTCTCTATACTGTTTGAGTTCATAAATTTTTCAGTACTATGGTGGAAGAAGCAACAACTGAATTTTTATTTTCATCTTGTAAATGCCAGATCATGAATTGGTAACGGCGGCCAATTTTCTAAAAAAAAAAAATTCCCAATTGTATTAGATTTTCTCTTTTTGGAATGAATATTTATATAATCCCTATAAATAAGACCAAACCTTATTCTATGATATTAATAAAGGATTCCTCTTTCTTATTCTTAAGCAATTCTTCAAGAGATCTTAGTTGATCCACAATGTATGGTTTCGTCTTTTGTTTTGAGAGAAATAGTTTA